TGATCTCAAACAAGTTCCTTTGGCTAGGGAATAGGATGTACTGTCAGAATGAGAGAGGTGCAAAAGAAGAATGACGAAAGAGGGGTTTCACTAGCAGCAGTTGGGGTACATATAGCAAACCCTAACTGGGTTGTACTCGCTATAGAGCACCCCACTACAGGCTAGATAATAACATTCTGACACACCCCCATAGCCAAAGTGGGGTGTAATCAGCACAATGAGCAGACATAGTAATAGTTCACAATTATAAGCAAAGCTAGAGGCGATCACAGAGGGCAAGTGAGGAGGAGGAGGAATTGTGAAGGGAGAGAAGATGGGAGACGACGGCTGAAGCTCCAGACACACGGGCAACAGGAGGACTGGCAGAGTGGCTACCGAGCGCACGAGGGCACCGGACTACGGGAGTATCTGGCTCCGCGGCTACGACAAGCGGCAGGAGCAACGGACCCACAGGCGACTGGCACAGCAAGGCTCTCTGGGCTACCGAGAGCGCGACGGCTCCGGACTACAGGCGCTGCGCATGACACGACGGCGGCCTCCTCTCAGCCTCCCCAAACAGTCCCACCTCCTTTCCACACACCCCCTGCTGCACCCCTAGCTCCACTCCCACGTCACCCCCACAACTCCACTCCCCGCAGCTCCCACACCTCCACCCCCCTCAGCAGCAGCTGCAGTAGTGGGAGACGAACAAGGAGGAGGAGAACACCCACACCGCGCACCCCCATGCTTTCCACCCCACACCCCCCACCACCGCGGAACGCACGGCGGCACGGGAGGAATGGGCAGCACGGGGGGGGGGGGGGGACGGGACAGAAGGGGGGGTGGGGCCGCGCGCTGCTCCTCAGGGTGCCGAAACGGACGGGCTGAGGGACGCGCGCGGTTCCCCAGGGCGCCGCGACAGACGGGCAGGAGGCGCGCGCGGCTCCCCAGGGCGCCGCGACGGACGGGCGGGGGCCGCGCGCGACTCCCCAGGGCGCCGCGACGGACGGGAGGGGGGCGCACGCTACTCCCCAGGGCGCCGTGACGGACGGGCAGGGGGCGCACGCTGCTCCCCAGGGCGCCGCGACGTACGGGAAGGGGGGCGCGCGCGGCCTGCAGGGCGACGCGACGAGACGGGCGGGGGCTGTGCGCGGGTCCCCACAGCAGAAAACCGCCGCGCGCCCCGAGCGCACGACGGGATGAAGAACATCACAAAAACCCTATGCCAAGTTTGGACGAATTTTGATTGGGGTTGTCTTCGCGTAAAAAAGTCCGGACCCAATTTCGACCGACGGTTGGAATCATTTGATAGGAGCTCCGACACACATCTCGCGACAAGGTTTGGCTCGGGTCAAGTTTCAAATTGGCACGCGAGCTTTTCCGGATGACATTCCGGCGCAATCCGTTTTGGTGCAATTTCGGTACCAAAATATTAAAAACTGGATTTTGGTTTTGTTTTATTTTGGGTATTGAGGATTTCAGAATTACATTCAATATTTTGGTAAACAACAACTATTATTTAGCATTCTAACAACCAGCAGTTTTAGCACCAGGTGAAATAGCCTACGCAATGCTGGGCCCTGCAATCGCCCGGTGGGCAAGAATGACATCTCCAAGGTCGCCATCGTCGATGAGGAACTTGTTCGGGAAGACGAACGCACCCTGAGCCGGATCGTGTGGGATCCGCCGCTCCACGACGGCAAAGTGTATCATCTGTTTGACCTTGTCACACCATTCGAAGTAGTCCGGCCTGTTTTGTTCCGGCTGGGCCGGAATTCGTTTGCGACGCTTATCCTACAGAAGGGGCCACTCGATCTGCAATGTGGTGTAGGGTTGGGTGGATGGAGTATGGGGGGGGGGTTACGGGTATATGGGCCAACTGAAAGCGGTGAAGGCGACACACCCTACGTAACCGCAAACGCCTAAGCGACCAGGGATTTAGATGAAGTACAGGCAACCCATATCTCCCGAGACATGAGGCATGGGTGTACAGACACATATCTACATCCTTACCGAAAACAGGCCCCATGCCACCATGCGGCTCTTGAACTTGTTGAACACGACCCCGCCCCTCTTGAAGGAGAGCTTGAACGCATAAGCAAACAAGGGGTTGCTGAAGGGCGTTCCGGTGGCCTTGTCAAAGTGCCAGTTGAGGGCCCACTGTTCTGCATTTTGGGAGGGAGCGTACGGGTTGGAAAGGGGGTGCAGAGAAATCAAGTGGCTGGGTGAGAGTCAGGGTGAGGAACACCGCACGGTTATTTGTAGCTGCCACCTGGCATATGGGCAGGGGGATATGGTGTGTTCGAGTTGCACATACCATCTCTGTACTCGGCCAGGAGATCCTCATGGTTGAACCACTTCTCTGGGTGTAGCTCAGTGGGCAGGGTATCCACGAGATGGGCGTAATCGGAGAGGCCCATGCCGGCGTATGTTGCTGGCCTGAGGGTGCTGTTGATTGTTGACCTGGTTGACGACATCTGGTGGTTGAAGACACCCATGGTTGACTTGTCGTTGTGCAACCACAGCAGCTTCATTGACTCGAGCCCTTCGGCAGACAAGTGGACAGCGAACGCCTCGAACACTTCCTCCGGTGCAGGGTAGTACTGGATTTTTTCCGGGGGGTTCAGAAACAGGAGCTGAGAGCACACTAAGTAGGCCTTGTTCTGCGCAGGGGTGTGGGGTTTACAACACAACATGGGGAGAGAGAAACCATCAGTTATGACTGTGGCCGCGTGACCACAGGATGGACTGTGTGAACTTTCCACGTCACACCCTCCTCCATCCGCCACATCCACCAGCAACCAGCCCCACTTGCCACGTCACATCCACCCACCCCATGCCACGTCACCCCCTACCCACCTGATACGTGTCACCTCGTCACGCGCCGCTCCCGTGTAACCTTCCAAGCCGCCACGTCAGCCCCAAGCCTCACATCCCGCCACGTCACACCCTCCTCCATCCGCCACGTCAGGGAACAACCAGCCCCACGTGCCACGTCACACCCACCCACCCCATGCCACGTCACCCCCCACCCACCTGACACGCGTCACCTCGTCACGCGCCGCTCGCGTGTACCCGTCCAAGCCGCCACGTCAGCCCCAAGCCTCACATCCCGCCACGTCACACCCTCCTCCATCCGCCACGTCAGGGAACAACCAGCCCCACGTGCCACGTCACACCCACCCACCCCATGCCACGTCACCCCCCACCCACCTGACACGCGTCGCCTCGTCACGCGCCGCTCGCGTGTACCCGTCCAAGCCGCCACGTCAGCCCCAAGCCTCACATCCCGCCACGTCACACCCTCCTCCATCCGCCACGTCAGGGAACAACCAGCCCCACGTGCCACGTCACACCCACCCACCCCATGCCACGTCACCCCCCACCCACCTGACACGCGTCACCTCGTCACGCGCCGCTCCCGTGTACCCGTCCAAGCCGCCATGTCAGCCCCAAGCCTCACATCCCGCCACGTCACACCCTCCTCCATCCGCCACGTCAGGGAACAACCAGCCCCACGTGCCACGTCACACCCACCCACCCCATGCCACGTCACCCCCCACCCACCTGACACGCGTCACCTCGTCACGCGCCGCTCGCGTGTACCCGTCCAAGCCGCCATGTCAGCCCCAAGCCTCACATCCCGCCACGTCACACCCTCCTCCATCCGCCACGTCAGGGAACAACCAGCCCCACATGCCACGTCACACCCACCCACCCCATGCCACGTCACCCCCCACCCACCTGACACGCGTCACCTCGTCACGCGCCGCTCGCGTGTACCCGTCCAAGCCGCCACGTCAGCCCCAAGCCTCACATCCCGCCACGTCACACCCTCCTCCATCCGCCACGTCAGGGAACAACCAGCCCCACGTGCCACGTCACACCCACCCACCCCATGCCACGTCACCCCCCACCCATCTGACACGCGTCACCACGTCACGCGCCGCTCGCGTGTACCCGTCCAAGCCGCCACGTCCGCCCCAAGCCTCACATCCCGCCACGTCACACCCTCCTCCATCCGCCACGTCAGGGAACAACCAGCCCCACGTGCCACATCACACCCACCCACCCACCCCATGCCACGTCACCCCACCCACCTAACACGCATCACCTCGTCACGCGCCGCTCCCGTGTACCCGTCCAAGCCGCCACGTCAGCCCCAAGCCTCACATCCCGCCACGTCACACCCTCCTCCATCCGCCACGTCAGGGAACAACCAGCCCCACGTGCCACATCACACCCACCCACCCACCCCATGCCACGTCACCCCACCCACCTAACACGCGTCACCTCGTCACGCGCCGCTCCCGTGTACCCGTCCAAGCCGCCACGTCAGCCCCAAGCCTCACATCCCGCCACGTCACACCCTCCTCCATCCGCCACGTCAGGGAACAACCAGCCCCACGTGCCACATCACACCCACCCACCCACCCCATGCCACGTCACCCCACCCACCTAACACGCGTCACCTCGTCACGCGCCGCTCCCGTGTACCCGTCCAAGCCGCCATGTCAGCCCCAAGCCTCACATCCCGCCACGTCAGGGAACAACCAGCCCCACGTGCCACATCACACCCACCCACCCACCCCATGCCACGTCACCCCACCCACCTGACACGAGTCACCTCGTCACGCGCCGCTCCCGTGTACCCTTCCAAGCCCCCACGTCAGCCCCAACCTGCCCCATTTGGCCCGCCACATACCGGGAATGGGTTTGTCTCCTGCAACACTAGCACTCGTGCCTTGTCCACGGCACTCATCGGCGGCGGGGTACCAGCCATAGGCGCGGCTGCGAAACCCCCGGCATAACTGGCAGGTACTCCACGACGCAGGCCGAGCTGTGCAAACATGGCGTACATCTCAGACCGCAGCGCCTGGAACTCCTCCCGTGTAACAAACTGCTCGTGCTCCGCACTTTCACCTAGGGCACCCATGAGCGGTGGAAAAGGGTGTGAAGAATCCCCCCTCTGGCCAAGGGTTTTAGCATCTTCTTCAGCAGTCCCGTGTGCCCTCACACTATCACGCTGGCGGGAAAAGGGGAGCTCAGGGAAGGGATTGGCAGAAGTGCTTGGCTGATGCCCGCGCGAAGGACCAGCGAGGGGGGAGACCGCCCTGCCCCGGACAGGAGAAGCGTGTAGCGGCCGAAATGGGTATGAGGGTGAGGCGAGTGGGGAGTGCGTGACGGGGCCTGGTGGAGGTGATTCGGATTCCTCTCCTCTTGGCGCGCCGGGAGCCGTCGCAGCGACTTTGCTTGGGCCGGAGTACGGCGTGAAGAACCTTGGGGCTGCTGTGGATAGCGGCGTCACACTCGCTCTTCCGGCCCCCTTCATTAGCTGCATCCGTTGCACGCTTACCGGTGGCCCAATGCCTGTAACGCGAGGGGCTGAGATTTAGAGGGAGTAGGATCAAGAAATTAAAGTCGATCGGTATCAATACAGGGCCAGACAGTCATGCATGAAATCAATGGTTTGAATCTAAATCAGGCTTAGCCGTGTACTGTTTTGAGACAGGAGACTTTACCTTTCTTTGCAGATTCGTCGTCCTTCTCCTTCCCTGCAGGGGAGAAACAACGTGTAGAATGGTGTTATTTGGCACGGTTACGCAAAGAGTGCAACAACCACGCCCGGTCTATTGGCCAGGGTGCTCACCTTTCTGCTGTCCCTTCGGTTTTTTTGGGGCCAGCGCCTTCTCGTTGCCACCTTTCCGCGGGGTGCTTTGACGGCCGCTGCGACGTTTACCGGCAGGTTCTTTCTTGCCAGTACCCAATGGAACCCCTTTGGCGCCGCCACCCTTACCTCCTCCATCCCCTTTTGCTCCCTGGCGCCCTTGCTTTTTACCACCCCCTTCACTTTCGACCTTCACCTTACGCGCCTTCGGTCTGCCAGCTGCTGCGCCGCGCGCGGCGTCAACTGCCCCGCGTTTTCGGGAATGGCGAGTCCGGCCCCCCACCTTCCTTGTACCACTCTGCCGTCTGCCACGCCCGCCCCGTCCCTTCACTGCCGCCACGTCCTCCTCCTCCTCCCCCTCTTCCTCCTCCTCCTCCTCCTCTGCCTCCTCCTCCTCCTGTTCATCCTCCTCCTCGTCGTCCCCCTGCTCTTCCTCCTCCTCCTCCTCCTCCTCCTCCTCCTCCTCCTCCTCCTCCTCATCCTCCTCCTCCTCCTCCTCCTCCTCATCCTCCTCCTCCTCCTCCTCCTCCTCATCCTCCTCCTCATCGTCCTCCTCCTCCTCCTCCTCCTCCTCTTCATCCTCCCCGCCATCATTCTCATCTTTTTCATCCTCCCCAACATCCGCGTCATCCTCCTCCGCATCCTCTTCATCCTCCTCTTCCTGCGCATCCTCCTCCTCGGCCTCACCAGGGTCTTCACGACCCCGTTTCTTGCCCCTCCTTCCGCCGGATGTTTTTCTTGTTGCGGGTCGGCCCTTTTGGCGCAATGCATGACCCGTCGCTTTGCCACTAGCTTCACTGGCGCCTCGCGTTCTCCCAACTTCCGCGCCACCAGCGTCGTCAGCACTGCCTGTCGTCTGCCGCCTCTTCGCCCGCGTGGTGATGTCCCCGGGCACGGCGGTGTCAGAATCGTCCTCCTTATCGCTCTTCTTCTGCCTACGTCTCCCCCGTCCACCAGAAGGAGGAGAGCCACCGACGTCGGCTATGCCGTGGTTAGGATCCTCCATCGACTCGTGCTCCCCCACCTTGTCCTTATCCAGCACGGCAGCAGAAATTTCGACCACGGTCGGCTGGAGCATGGTGTTGAGATGCCTCCGCCTCAGACTCCTTGGTTGCGGTATGCTCGCCGCGTGGATCGCCTCCGTGGTTTCCCCCTGTCGCCGATCCCTCTCTCTCCGCCGACGGGACTGCAAGACTCGCACTCCCTCGCCCCGGATGTTCGTTGCCGCCACTGGTGCCGTCGTTAGTCGGACCGGGCGTGGTTCCAGTTGAGGCAACATCTGCATCTTTGTTCACTGTAGAAACACGCTTGCGTGGCATTGGTTGCTTCCCGTTGTCTGCTGCCTTCCTGCCGGACTTCTCTTGATCCCGCGCGACCTTCTTTGCCGCCACTTTTTTCAGCCCAGTGCTACGCGCAATGGACGCATTAGTTTTCTTAGCGCCACCGCCACCCTCCCTATCGGTCCGTTTAGACATCGTCCTTGTCGCTCGGCGTCCGGCCTGTTCCTCCTCCATTGCTTGTTGACGTGTGGCACGTGTCATGGTTGCCGTAGGAATGCCAAGGTCTATCGCGCGAAACGGGTTAGCCTGTTTTGAAGGGCCGCAGCAACTGAATATCACGAAGTGTTTAACGACGGCCTATCACTGTTATGTTTCTCCGAAAAATCGCTGCTATCACTAAACCTGAAATAGTAGCCACTCATCACAGAGCTACGGCCCGTGACTTAGTATACTGGTGAGTCACGGGCGATCTGGAAACGCGCTTGTCAAACAGCGAGCAGCGTCTAAGTGTTGGCATAGAGGGTGACGGGAGCAGGTGGGTGGGGCACGACGGTGGTTGGGGTGGGTTGCGAGACTATAGAGATTACTGTAACCCTATCAGGCTATATCGGACGGTGTACGTGTAGCCACCCGTGCATAAACCCGCCTACCGCTCGATCTCATCCGCTCAATGGCGGAAGTACCTCTTGGCTAGTGCTTGTGTTGTGTGGGGACTCGTTTGAGATGCATTGGCCAACCACGGTTGCCAACGCATCAATCTCTACGCATAGTATGACAGTTTTAGAACCTCAAGTGCGAATGTAACCTTATCCCTGCAAAGTACAGTGATCTCGTGAACGCACAGTGTTGAACATGTACGCGGAATAAATTTCAAAAAATACAACAATAAAAAACATCCAAAACTTTGATGCTCTTGGTTTAGTATGGGGTTGCCGCCGGTAGTGGGTTTGTCTCATGTCACACACACAAAGTGTAACAAACGAATGTGTTGACGAATAGTAACAGACAAGAAAAAGTAGTTGTATGGTGTTGGATTGTCATCCATTCTTGCACGGACATTCAACAAGGTGCTTAGAGAGAGTGGTTTGAAGCACAGGCCCACCGCACAAGCGTAGATGCGTTCTCGACAGCAGTGTTTAGACAGTGCGACGATGCCACGTTCCGGCCTGTGTGTTGCGCGACATGGTGAATCCGTTGTGGTTTGGCGTTGGATTGTCATCCATTCTTGCACGGACATTCAACAAGGTGCTTAGAGAGAGTGGTTTGAAGCACAGGCCCAACGCACAAGCGTATATGCGTTCCCGTCAGCAGTGTTTAGACAGTGCGACGATGCCCCGTCCCGGCCTGTGTGTTGCGCGACATGGTGAATCCGTTGTGGTTTGGCGTTGGATTGTCATCCATTCTTGCACGGACATTCAACAAGGTGCTTAGAGAGAGTGGTATGAAGCACAGGCCCAACGCACAAGCGTAGATGCGTTCCCGTCAGCAGTGTTTAGACAGTGCGACGATGCCACGTTCCGGCCTGTGTGTTGCGCGACATGGTGAATCCGTTGTGGTTTGGCGTTGGATTGTCATCCATTCTTGCACGGACATTCAACAAGGTGCTTAGAGAGAGTGGTATGAAGCACAGGCCCAACGCACAAGCGTATATGCGTTCCCGTCAGCAGTGTTTAGACAGTGCGACGATGCCCCGTCCCGGCCTGTGTGTTGCGCGACATGGTGAATCCGTTGTGGTTTGGCGTTGGATTGTCATCCATTCTTGCACGGACATTCAACAAGGTGCTTAGAGAGAGTGGTATGAAGCAAAGGCCCAACGCACAAGCGTAGATGCGTTCCCGACAGCAGTGTTTAGACAGTGCGACGATGCCCCGTCCCGGCCTGTGTGTTGCGCGACATGGTGAATCCGTTGTGGTTTGGCGTTGGATTGTCATCCATTCTTGCACGGACATTCAACAAGGTGCTTAGACAGCAGTGTTTAGACAGTGCGACGATGCCACGTTCCGGCCTGTGTGTTGCGCGACATGGTGAATCCGTTGTGGTTTGGCGTTGGATTGTCATCCATTCTTGCACAGACATTCAACAAGGCGCCCAGAAGGAGTGGTATGAAGCACAGGCCCAATGCACAAGCGTAGATGCGTTCTCGACATCGCTGTTCCGACGCGGCGACGTTGCAGCGTTCAGGCCCATGGCTTGCGGGACATGGTGAAACCGTTGTGGAATGGTGTTGGGTTGGGCTCAATTCTTGCATGGGCCCTCGACAAGGTGCATGGAGGGTGTGGCATGAAGCACTGGTCCAACGTATTGAGTGTGCCGGAAGGTATTGAGCATGTCGTAAAGTATGGTCGTATAATCGTTATGAGTGACATTAAGTTATTTGTTATATGTAACTGTACAATGGTATTACCTGGTTTGGATTAAGGCTATGGGGGTGCGCACCACTTTGGGCACACCTACGTGATCGCGATCTCCCCCCTATAGAGACTCTCGAAAGAATCACAACACCAAACAGATCTCTTCCCTCTCTTCCTCTCCCACCCCGACTCTCACACACGATTCAAAAACCGATGCCAAACAGGAATCGACCTGGTAACCTTTTGATTACCCGCTGACATCGAACCAACTGCGCCAGAACTGCAAAATTTCTAAATCGCGTAAAATTTGGGTCTGTTACATTTGCGACGGAATTGACACATCCTTAGGGTTTGTTTCTCCCCTTTTCTCTTTTCTCTCGCCAGACAAGCTTGGTTCTTCACATACTCCCGCTGGTCATGCTCCACCTATCTACCAGTGGTGAGAATAGCTCTAAGGGTTAACTAGAGCTAAGTTTCATGTGGTATCCTAGTAGACTAGCTGAATCATGGGTGCCGTTAGCTATCTACGACCCTCAATATAGCTAGATTGATGTTGTTACTATGAAGAATTTAGAAGCCTCATGCATTAACTTAGCAGCTAGGTCGTTCTTAACCAGCTCGCCTCACTTCTTGCTATGATCGAATTACGTCCTGCCCTTATCTCTGAAATCCGTTTCTTTCCATGTTCACATGCAATGTTTGATTCATACCGTTTTCCTCCCTCCTTCCTTTCTTATCAGCTCAAGCGTCTCTCCTTCAGTTCGCCTCCTTCTTACGCCATCTACTCATAGCTAGGTGAGTTGTCCGTTTCTTCAAATTCTTCCTTTTCTTTCCTTAGATGCTTCACTTTTTCCTCTCTAGTTTTTTGTATCTTACCTTTCATTCCATTCTCTTTTCATTTCTTTCCAAACTTGACGTTCTTTCTTCATTTCTTCCGTTCAACATTCCTTACTTTCTTTCCTCTCATTTCTCAAATTTGAATTAGGATGTATTGCATCCTTCTTTCCTTTCTTACTAGCATAGGCGCCTTTCCGTCGGTTCTCCTACTAGCGCGAATGCACATTGATGTCTCAATCCTTCGTCTTGTTAACGGTGAGAGCATGATGGAAAAGCATAAGAGCAGCGGCAGAGAAAGTGGCAGGATTTGACAAAAGGGAACTTGCAGTTTTCCAGTTTTCCTCCTATTATCATTTTTCCATTCCTTAACTCGATTTATCTTCTTAGTATTTGTGTCTATGATTTTGTGAGTTTGAGTATGGGTGCTATCTGTCATTGATGTTCAATGTCATTCATGTTTTCTTGTTCCTGGTTTTTTTCCTTCTTCCCTAACAACCTGTTTAAATCATTCAAGCTCTTGCTATTGCCTTCCATCTGCCTTTCTCTTTTTTTAATCCCTACTCTCGTCTCCTGCTTTCATCTGCTCCTTTTGTTCGAGATTGTATTTTGCTTCTTAGGTTTTTCGTTCTTCATTCTTTCCCTTCCTTCAACGCCTGTTCTTCTGTAAGCCTTTTTCTTCGCCTCCACTTTCATTTTCTTTTTGTTGCTGGTTCCGTATTTCATTGTGTCGAAATCTTCTACATCGTCTCTTTCATTCTCTCTCTCGCTCTGCCTTCCTTACTTCAGTTTTTTACCGCGGTATTTTCTTGTTATCCGTTTCTCATTGTCATAGTCTTTGGTGTTTCATTGTTCTGGTTTTTATTCTTCTGGTTGAAACGAATTTTAACATTTTTAGAAGTTCTTGTTTTCGAGTTCGTTTAGCTAATTTACGCGCTTTCGTATCAGGTGGAGTCTCCTCCTAAATGCTTTCAAACAGGCCCATGCTTTCTTGCCTCCCTTGTTTCTTCCTTTGTTCTTCCTCGTCTCATTGTTTTCCCGTAAATTCCTTTAATTTCTCAGCGCCTTTGTGTTTGGTTCGCCAATGTTCTCTTTCCGTATGCTTCTTTCAGCATGTTTGTTATCTGATACTTGTATTTATGGTAACTAGGTGGTTTTTGTTTTTGCTGGAAATTGGATGTATCAAATCAGTTGAGCACGTGAATAGCAAAGTTATTATGTATTGTGTTATTGCTAGGATTCTTAGCGTTTTGTCGTAAAATTATTCACCTTATCCCCATTGTTCCATATTTGCCTTTCTTTCTTCTTTCTATTGTTGATTCTTTCCAAACAGACCTTTTTTTCAGGAAGTGAAGGTTAATTTGGACGGTGCGAAGATACAGACGGTTCCGTGTAGGATTATATTTATATTGCTAGGGTTTAATTTTGCTGCTTTTTTTTTCTTTGTTTCATTTTTATTAAATAGTTGATGCATTAAGCGTTTTTAGTTTTTGTGAATGTGTGTGATCATGTGTATGCGTTCGTATGTGTTTGTGCGTGTGTATATGCGTTGTGTCGTGTGCGTATGAGCTTTCATTCATGCTTCCATTTCATAAATAACACATGTCTGTGGG